AAAACTAATTTGTTAAGATAATCAAGATTATTTCTTTGTTCAGTATCATTTCAGCTTCTTCTGATTATGCGAAATTTTGGTAATCAATTTAAATTTATTTTAAAAATATTTTTGAAATACAATGACATTTTTACAAACAAATTTAAATTTTATCATTTAATTTAATTGATGATTATTGAAGGAAAATTTTTTAATAATGTATGATTAAATTTAAAAATTATGAACTTATTCGATTGATCTTTGATGTAACGAATTTTTCTTGAAATTTAATTTGCAATTCTTTTTCCATTTTTAATAATGCAAGCATTTTAAAAATATACCTGATAAATAAGGCATAAATAAGTGTTAAAATGGATGTTTTGCCACGTTCAATAGGTTGCTCTTGAAAATATTTATTCCCAAATTCCAAATATTCACGCACTCTTACTTCATATTTAGATTTCATAAACTTGAAATGCGAACTTTTTTAATTGGTCGCTTTTTCTTCATTTTAAAATTAACAATTAAATAAAAATTATGTGACATTTGACAGAAACAAAATTACGTTGATAAAAATTTATGTGACATTCAACATAGTGTAATTTGCATATTTTTAACAATTAAAAATTTTAATACCGCATTAATGATTTGATTGGCACGTTTAATACATTTTTCTTCTTCTCCCGGAACAATAGCTAATGTTTGAATAAAAAAGTCAGCCGGATTAGTATGAGCCGGAATAGGATAATCAACATCAGCATAAAATCGTAAAGCTTCTGAGGGAGAACCTATAAAAAATGAAACAATATAATAATTACTATATTATCAAAAAAATATTGAATTATATCGATTAGTTTAACTACTTGATTAATAATTAATGAAAATCAAAAATTTTAATCATAAAACGGAAATTAAAACATGCGAACTTATATTTGTTGCATCAAGTATTTCATTACTAATTAATGAAATTTTAAATTTTAATCATAAAAAGGAAGTTAAAACACGCGAACTCATATTTGTTACATCAAGTGTTTCATTGCTAATTAATGATATTTTAAAACTTTAATCATAAAAAAGGAATTAAAACATGCGGACTTATATTTGTTACATCAAGTACATCATTACTAATTAATGAAATTTTAAACTTTATTGACCAAGAAAAGCAATTTTTCCATTAGCAAGAAGAACTACTCGATCAAACATTTCAAATGTATCAGATGCTGGTTGATGAATTGTACAAATAATTGTTTTACCATTTTCAGATGCCATTCGTTCAAGAACCTTAAATTAATTAGTATTATTTGGACTTTAAACATTATTTTGCATCTTTTCTTTTCCTGCACGTTCTCTAATTAATACTTAATTAATAAAAAAAAAGAATATTTCATTATTATGCAAACCTTTACAATATGATATGCCATAAAAGAATCAATACCAGTTGTTGGTTCATCAGCAAATAGTAATGATGGATTTGTTAAAATTTCTGTTGCAAATGATAAACGTTTTGCTTCACCGCTTGTGATACCTTTTTCGATACCTGATATACCAATACGTGAATTAACGCAACGTTCCAATTCCAAATCTGCGATTACCTTAATCAAAAAAAAAAAAAAAAATGAATAAGCTATTAAATGAGTTAATGTAATATTCTAATTCTAGATTTATAATTAACTTAATAAATTGAAAAAATAATGTATTTTAAATAAAAAATAAAACTTAACATTTAATGCATTTTCTATAAACCTTTATACTGATTTTCTTTTTTTTCATTTTTTTCTAAGTCATTTTTGCATATTTTATTTAGCAATTTATGCATTATACAACAATTTATTCAAATATTAACATTTATAACTAATAATTTGCACAAAAACTGAAATATAATTATTGTTCAAACATTAAATGAAATATAGAAATTGATTAATATATTTTTTTAATAAATTACATGAAATGTGTATAACTTCTATCAAACAGTTATTACTTAATAACTTAATAGTCGTTAATGAAAAATAATTTACAATTTATTGTTTTTCTTTTTTGAATAAAAAATAAAAATACAAAATTTTTTTTCCTGAGAAGACAAAAAAAACAAACAAATTACTTGTTTTACACGCAATTCTTTTTCACGTTTTGTAAATGATGACGGTAAACGTAAAGCTGCTTGTAAATTGAGATGTTCGTGAACTGTTAATGAATTGATGAATAAATTTTGCTGTTGAATATAAGCGGAAACCTTTAAAAATTAAAAACAGAAAATAAATTCAAAAAAAATGATAACTCAGTGATAACGATAATGATTTGATTATTTAAGGTGTAATAATCCATAATGATAATGATTTGATTATTTAAGGTATAGCAAAAAAAAAAAAGCGATGACTTAAACACAATAATATTTAGGAGCAACAAAAACACTTTTTTTTGTTTACCTTCTCTTTAACGAAGTAAACAAAATATACAAATATATAAAATATAAAGTATTATCAATTTAATTATTTCACGTATTGTAAATGATTGCTTTGCTTGAAATTATTTTTTGTTTTTTTTTTCTTCTTGTTTACTTTTTTTTCGTGCTAAAATAAACAAATGTATTTATACAAATGGCTGAAAATGCAAACAACCATATATTTAAAGCATAATAACTGTTAAACTAAAAAAAAAATGTTGTTTACTTTTTTTTGTCGAAGTAAACAAAACGTATTTCTACAATTACATCAAAATGTAAACATTTAAAATATAAAGTATAAAATATATGAAAATGCGAAAGTTTGTAAACAGTTATTATTTTTGTGGTATAATAATGAGAAATGACTTTATATTAAAGTTATCATAGAGGAAAACAAAAATGATAAAAATGATAAGATAAACTTACTTTAGTAATTTTTCGACCAACTATTTTACCATTTACTTTTACCATACCGCTAATTTTTAAACCTTTTACATTTCGTTGTAATAAAGCGTTTAAGAGTGTTGTCTTCCCAGCACCACTACAATAAGTTTTAATAAATTAACCTTTAAAATTACTACCGGAATTAGGATTATCGATGTATAATATAGAAACAAAACCTTTTTCAGAGAAATAATTTAAATCTTAAGTTTATTAAATGCTTTAGTTTTTGAATGAATGCCTTTATTATTACTATTGTTGTTATTATTATTATTATTATTATTATTATTATTATTATTGTTATTGTTATTATTATTATTATTATTATTATTATTATTATTATTATTATTATTATTATTATTATTATTATCATTATTATTACCACTAATTATTATTATCACTAATTACTATTTTGTGATAATAATTACTACTATATAATAATTATAATAATAATAATTACTATTACTTGATAACTGCCATGCGAATGATCGTAAAACAAATAAGTTAACATAAGATTACCCATAATTAAAAATTTTTATTGCTAAAAATTTAATTAAAATCTCTTTGAATGTTCGAAAAAAACCTTTCTAAAATATTCAAATTTTCTCAGCTGGAAAGGTTTTTTTTTCTTCAGTGAATTTAATTAGCTTATTAATTAAGATACAAGTATACAGCTGGTGAATGGCATATGACTGCTACAGGAGAACCTGAAAATGAAGCAAAATTTATTTATCCAGATAATGGATCAATACAACTTGGACAATACTGGATGAATAATGGTATCCGTTTTGGTAAACTCAAAATTACGAACAGTACCAAGGATTGCTCTTCAAACGTTTGTTTAATTAAGAGATAGTAATTAATTTGTTAAAATTAAACTAAAATTTGCAATTTACATTTTCATAAAATCAATAAAGTAAATAACATATGGAAAGGATAAATGTAAAGATTTTTTGAAAGTTTAATGATGAGAAATCCACAAAATAACATATATAAATCAATTTTTTTGGGGACAAACACCTGCCTGTGAAACGATAAAATATTTCAATTGTCAACTTTCACCTTACCTTTCCATTTCCATCTTATCCTTGTCATAATTTGCAAATAAATCCATCAAAATGAGCAATTTGAACAGATATTTATGTTGTAAAGTGTCTGTTAAATGACATTAATTACATGGATAGATGTGACTGTGTGTGTATGTGTATATATGTATGTGCATGTATGTATGTGTGTATGTGTGTGTGTATATACCTTCATGAGTATTAGAACTACTGATAAAAATCATCAATGGCGCCTTACGACGATCTTAACAAAGATATAACTAGGTGATGATATCTGGATTGATAGATATCTTTTTGTATGTCATCTCACCTTATCCAACTTCTTTTTTTTTTTTACCGAAATTAGTTCTTTCGGGAGATATAACTGGATATTTTAATATAATAGTCATTAAAAGAAGTGTCAAGTATCTTTGGCGCTTTTGGATGATAATTTGTAGTTAATTTTATCAAGATTTTACAATAAAAATTGCTATTTATGAAAGATAAATGAAAAGAAATAATAATTTTTAGAATGAAAGATTAAAGAGATACGTGCGGAATTGTCGCATTTTTTTTCAGATACTTCTCAATTCAATGCATAAATATTGTCCTATTCTATACATTTACAAAGTTTATGCAACACCAGCATTATGTTTGGATGGTTCTACGATTTTAACCAATCAATATCAATTGATGAAAAATTTTACCGATCAAATTATGGAATTCATAGCTGTTACAGCATATCAAAATCAACGAATTATCGAAATGAAAAAAATACATAATAGCTATGCTCGTGGACAACGTGGTACAATCAAATCTAGGAGTAATGATAATCTTACAACTATAAGTTAGTTTAACTTTAAAATTTTAAAACAATTTCATGAAATATTCAATAAATAAATTTGAAATTAAATCATATAGAAATTAGATAAAGCATTTTATTCATTCTTAAAACAATGAATATTTTATTTAATTTTTTTATGAAAAATCATTTTACACAGATAATTATTATATTATGATAAAATTGAATAATTCTAGAATGTGATAAATTAATATTTCTTCTAATCATTTTTAATTATAGATACCAATAATACAACCGTCCCATTAACAGATAATCATTCATTGCATTTATCATTCGATCCTTTGCATAAGTATAAACCATATTGGACAAATCGATCACATTATTTATCAAATCAAAAACATATACCACATTCAATTCATCTATTATCATCCAATTATTGTAATCCTATGACAGTAACATGTTCATCATTTATGTCACATTCTAACAATTCTAATTGTATTTTATCCACTAATTATCATAATTCTTCTACAAATGCCACTTTCTCTTCCAGTAATTCCGGAAATATTTTTCCTGGAAATATACCTATTTCAAATATCCCAAAAACAACAGCAACAATTGAAGAACGGAATTTTTTAAATTCTTCAACTTTTACGACATTAAATTTACCATCAAATATGTGGAATTACAGCACATTATGGCATCATTTTTCAGTACCATATCCATCACTTGTAACACATAATTCTCCTTATATTTAAATTTTATCTAATTCTTGATATATAACCGGAAAAATGATAATAACGGAATGATAATATCGAAACTAAATTATTCATCATTATGCTAAAATTTACGGGCTTACGATTGTTCATATGAATTTGTTGTATTTGATTGGTGATTTGTAATCAATTGATCTTGTTGTACAAAGAGTACTGTAATAAATAAACATCATTTTAATCTGTTATTGGATAATGATAAGTAAGGAAACGATGGAAAAAAAAGAAAACCTTTTTCTTGCATTCTCTCTTTCTCTCTCTCGCACATAATATTTAAATGATTAGATATAGAAATATTGAAAAAGTTTTGTTGTTTAAGTATCGAATGAAAGGTTTAAAAAATGATGAGAAACCAATGAATTTCAAGCAAATGACAATCCTTTCAATTTATGACGATTGATTGATATTGTACTGTAATTATAGTATATTAATTAATTGCAAATTGAGATTTCTTGGATTGCTAGGGAAGTTAGACATTACAGCAAATGAGAGAAGAGATTAAACCAGAATGATGTAACCCATTAACAGTAATAATAACAGTAACATCATATTCATCGGTATCTTCAAAATGATCCTTCATTTGAGAGAGAGAGAGAGAGAGAGAGAGGAGGAGAGAGAGGAGGAGAAGAAGAGGAGGAGGGAGAGAGAGA